TCAAGTATTGTCTTCTTTAGGAATTTTTTCGATTGCTTGGAGGATTTCATCATGAGCTGACGTCAGTTAGCGAACCATTGGAAAACCTGCAGGGAGTACTGGATATATGTTTCGTCCTAGTATGGGACTTTTCATCAGTATTCACCCACTGGGATTCGAAGGTGAATAAAGTAGCGATATATTTTTAAATATCAAGTAGTATTAGAAACACTGGATAATAAGTGACAGCTCAAATTTCATACAGAAATTTTATCGAACTGTCTTCTTTTATATTTAACTCAGCACTTATTTCAACCAACTGGAAGGAATCAGTAATTATTCTCGAATAGGTCACATCGTCCACTTGATTTCTGTTTTCTCAGTCGAAATGATCTTAAACATGTTATGGTGTACATGATTCATAGTATTTATCTGCAAAACTATTTCGCTGGGGCTTAATATATTATCATCAAGATATCTGCAACCTATAGCAAATTTATTAATGTTGTAAGAAGTGAGTACTGACACACCTCTAGTTTGTGATATTCTCGATTTTGTTTATAATCAATTGATACTTAACGGTAATTATTGTTATTATAAGATAATACGTTAAAGTTAGAAAACAGTGAGGAATAATGACTACAGGTTTAAGTGCCAGTCTACATCAATTAGAGAACCATTGGAACAACTCTCCCGTCCTAGTTTGAGAACCCTCATCAGTACACATACAGTGGGGTTCGATCACAGGACTTTCCGGTTACAAGGCGAGCTCGGAGACCATTCAGCCATTGGGACCCGTTTCAGTGGCCCATGAATTCCAGCTTCCTCCAATTCGTGATGTTTATATTGTAACAACCGGCCACTGTCATAGGCGAATAACGGATCTTTCACCTGACGTGGTGGAAGTGACCTCACAGAAACTTCGCCACCTCTCGATTTTAGGACAGCGCTAACCAACGCCACGGATAAACATCTGCTTTACATTTAACATGGTAGATCTCAGTGGTTACGACTTCTCATTAGAATTTCAGGATATGAATCCTGTAGCCCTTGATAATAAGGGAATTCTGATCTCATTGAGAAAAAGCAATAAAGTGTAAAAGTCAACGAAAGATGAAAACTTATATTTCAGACATCAAGTACCAGAAATGCTGATTCCCACTTGGGCGGTTCAATATATCAATACAAAAACTATTTGAATGTCAGGTAGTGTCACACTTCCTTATGTCATGTATCTTTTTGGTTAGTGTTTATGTGATTCGCATTGCGATCTTATAATAAGCAGTTACTTCAAATGTAACCTATTGTAACGGGAAAAGATAACAGACGTGGTAACGGACATGTATGAAGGAAAAATACATATTTATACATCCTTAAACACATTAAAGCTTGGCTAAGTTAGGGGAGAATAAACTGTTCTGACTGGTTGGCAATCGACCCGAGGTTAAGCAAGTTGTCCAATGAGGTTATTTCCCGTCCACAACGTAAACTAAATCCAGATTTGCGAGATAAACACTTCTGACTTTGCAGCCATTGACTTGGAATATTGATTACACATTTGACCTGTTCTTAGCAATCTGCATCACACTACACTATCACTTTATGATAACTGCTTCCATATGGTTGCAATAAAAACTGACCCGAGATAATTTCAATAGAAATGAATGCGAAAGCATCGCTAAATCTAAGTAGCATGAATTCTGATTGTCCACCACGTTGAAAGGATAATAGGCAGTCTTTTATTAACACTAAGAACTTGTGAATGATTAATTCATAAACTGAGTTTTCTTGTGTGCTGATTAAATGAAGAAATGATGGTCTGGTGATGATGTTCACCTAGATACATAAGTAATCAAACTAAAATGTGAATCATTCTAATACGGGTAAGATAATTATCATTCCCTCATTTCTTTATTTATTCATAATCTTTCTAAGCTTGGAAACAAAATTTTGGTGAAAGTGAAAATGAAATGACTTTTGCAACTTGCGATTTTATTTTATCTGGATGAAACTAACTGCATACCTTGCTTATTATATCCTGTAACTGTCAGTAAAATACTCGACTTTAGGGTAAACAGGGAACTTGGTTGGAGGATTTCAGCATGAGCTGACATGAGTTAGAGAACCACTGGAAAACCTGCAGGGAGTACTGGTTGTTTCATCCAAGTTGGGCACTCTTCATCAGTACGCACCCACCCCAACTGGGTTCGAACCCAGGACCTTCTGGTTAAAAGGCGAGCTCATAGACCATTAAGCCCATGAATTCGAACTTCTCCTGATTCGAGACATAGTGCAACCATTAGCCAATGTCTTTGGCGAGTATTTGTTCTCATACCCAACCTGTTGTACCCTACTGGTCACGACTTCCCACTAGAACCCCAGGTAACTAGCTGTCTGAATAGGGTCAGTGGCTGGTGAGCATCTCATTGATATTCGAGCATTGGGTTGGAGGGACCAGAAGGGTAAAGCAGGTCGGATGTGAGGACAAATACTTGCCACCGATGACATTGGCTAGTGGTCGCACTATATCGTGAATTGGCAGAAGTCAGAATTCATGGGCGATTGGATCAGGTCCCAGAGGCTGAATGGTATACGAGCTTACCCTGTAACCAGAAGGTCATAGGTTCGAACCAAGTTGATGAAGAGTTCCAAAGTAGGACGAAACAGCTGTCCAGTACTCCCTGCAGGTTTTCCAATGGTTATCTAAATGATGTCATGATGAAATCCTCCAACTAATCAAACAAAAATCCTTACAAAACCAATACTTGAAAACATGTAACTCACATTAACTGGAGAAAAGACAATAACCAATCAGAAGCAAACACTGATTTTGTCATAATTTGAGACTGTTGATTAGTATTCTGTGCATGAGACTACTAAGTTATGATATAAGCACATCACCACTAAGATATGCTATTGGAACAGTAAAGACCTATGATTTCCGATTTCAACCACTTGTCGTTATAGTGCAAATACCATCTATCATTATCCAAGAATACTGTTCTCAAATCTAGTTTGGTGAATCGTACTCAGCATAAGACTCAATTTCTGGTTTCAAAAAGTATTTGTTTCTAAAGTAGACTGTAAATACTACTACTACTACTAATAATAATAATAATAATAATAATTTCGATTAATTATTTATTTTTTGGTTATTTTCAACTTTATTACTCTTGATATTAATTACAACGACTATTTAGGAAATCTCATCGAAAATTCAGTCAGCTATTATGCTGCTTTAATGATAATAACAGTAATGGCTTTATTCTGGACAGTGTTTATATAATGTGCAGGATTTTCAACGATGTTTATTGCATGATATTTTCTATTCGTCTAGGATATTCAGATAAAATATTAACTGACAGTATATTGTGTGACACAATACTGTCTGACCTGAAGCGTAAACCAATCGATTTTTTGATGTTTCTTCTTTATCTCCATAGAGAAAAGCACAAAATTTTGTTAAAAGCCAGTTTTAAGAAGTTTGGGAGTATATTTTAAGGCTTAAGGACATAACGCGTGGATAGTTATCTCATGGACTGTGGAATGTCGCTACTCACGATTAAAACTGAAGGCACAATAAAGATAATATGCAATATGACGATAGAGGTTTTCGGTAGTACAAGTTTTAAGCAGGCCGCTAGTGACAGTTAAGACGTCACCTTTCTTCACTTATACGTTAGTTTAAATATACCGCAAAAATCAAATCCCTAATAAGGTAGGGTAGGAATCAATAATTAGCTAGACAAAGTAAATTCAAAGATCAATTTATTAGACGTAAACTTCCAGGAAATGCTGATTGTTTTTAGATATCTATTACTGTCTTGATTGTCTGCTGCGTAAATCTGAGACATCATGCACGACACAGTTAACCAATGACCTTCAGATTCCACTGCAACTAAAATGTTATGTATTCAACAGCTGCAACTCACCACAACATAAACATGTAACATTCTTTAATGTTATGTATTTTATTAGTTTGTACATAATTGTGTCACCTAATCTCAAGCTACTGAACTGCTTAGTTTCTACAATACTTCCTGAAATAAAACAATCGAATTGGACGTCAAAGTGACTAGTCCATTTAAATCAGACTTTACAGTACGTTGCCACCAATGACAGACCATAGTTAACAAACAGCTGACTATTGAACTAATTGATCATAATTTATGTGTGAGACAAGGAATCAACTTATTTCAGACCACAGATTTTCAGAGAAACATTAAAAAACAATCTAAACATTCTCAAGTAGAATATATATTTTAGTGGAATTAAAATTTTTTAAATAGAAACTGTTGATTCTAGAAGACGATTAGGATGAAAGTCAATATACCATAGAGTGATTGTGAAAAAGATAAATTAAGCAAATAAGCAGGGAATACTCGATCATATATATATATATATATATATTATGACTGGTTCCAATACATACATCTTTCAAAAGTTTATAAGTTAGAACTGATGCAATGAATAGAAGAAGTGAATTTTATTGAACTGTTTAAAATGTATGAAGGAATTTATCTCGACGTGGAACTCAGTAATGTACCATCCAATATAAGGAATAATTCAGAAATTAACAGGATTGGTTTCTGACAATAATAATACTTTAAGTGAACTGTAGTCAACTCTGAAGAGTACGTGTTTAAAAAAACGATGGACATGCATATTCATGACAGAATTCAACCTAATTCTAGCGAAGTCTCCCAGTCTTTTAGAAGCTGTCATCTTTTATGCAGATATTATGAGTAGTAAGTAATATGTACTTCTATGTATTGTTAAATTGAAACTAGCTTTTAGTAAAATGAAGACAAAATATGGTTTTGCGAAATTAGATGGTCATTACTGATGAGAATGCCAGTAGTATTATTGTTACAGAGAAAAATCCTGTTGTTCTGAATCTCATAACCGTTAGTGCCATATTCATGATAAATAGTGAAATAATGACAAAGACCAAAGAGACTAGTGAAAGATTTTGAATGTGTAACTTTTTTCCTTTCTTTAACACTGAAGCATCTGCCTATTTATGAAATCAGTGAATCACTAAGATTGTCTGTAAATGATGAAGATGTTGTATGAACCAATGGAAATGTTGAGAATAAATTGAATGTATTCGCAGAAAACTTTTGATTCATTCGAGGATATGCATCATCATTAAACAACGCACGATTCTCATCACTACTGATTGACGAGGATGTTGAAAGGTTTAAAGGATTAGAAAGTGTATTCCATTTACTGAGATCATCATTATTCCCCTCAGTATCATTACTGGGTGGTTCTGTGGTGTGTATGAAATTTTGATTAGTGTTTGAAACAGTGGCATTTAAATCCGATTCATTGTTCTCATCATTCACTTTTGTACTAATTTGATTTTTCAATGTGTTCATCGACTTTGGATTAATATCTTCGATTGGATTACTGAACAAATCTTCGTGTTGTATTGTATTAAGCTTGGATTTCTTTGGTACATTGGTGTCAGAGGAAGAATTTTGGAGAATATAGTTGTCAGAAATTGTACTATTAGTTGTTTCCCGTACTGGTGTTGATAATGCTGCCACTTTTCTACGCATATTTGCAAAGTAATCTTTGTTATTCTTCGATTGTGAATTGTTACTTAGCTCTTTGATGATGCAGGGATCATTTTCACTGCCATATCGTGTAGCACAATATAACTGTGTAACTCTAAGAAGAGTTTCTCGTAAATAAGGATCTTTCCCTAGAAAAAGAAAATGTTTTAAGCAAAACAACTTAGTACAGAAAATGCGAAATAATATGATTTTGCTATTAAAAGATTGTTTTTGTATTAACTGATTATTGAAAGGAGTTATAAAATCTCCAGAAGCCCACACTACAAACAATACTCTTTTCAGGATGAACAAAAATATTGTAATGACTGTGAATATCAATGTGTATCGGTAGTTTAGGGATAAAATGCCCTCCAGCCACTCATGTACTCAGGGTTCGATCCCCTGCCAGCTCACTTTTAAAGCTCTCCTAGGTGGTAGTAAGCTCGGAAAAGAAGGAAGGTTGACTTTGAGGCTACCAGCTCCACCACGTAAAAATAAAATGTATATTTCTGACAATTCAGAGCTCAAAGCTTGGGGTCATAAGTCCCCCTGGGGACTCAAAAGAATGAAAGAAGTATTCCAATACGAAATCATCACCTATTGGTCGTTTGTATATCTTTAGCTAGTGGATACTGTCGGTAAAGATTTTTCTCGAGACTTATAGACTGAATTCGATGTATACTGGTAAGTTTGCCAATAATACTTACTTTCAACAATTTGTTTCAAGAGTGATCATGATTTGATGTCAGGGGTACTGTACGTCTGTTTCAACCTAGTTTGAGACTTTTCAGAAGTATGCGCCTAATACCCTACCAAGGGTCGAACGCAGGACATTCAGGTTATCAGACCAAGCTCGTTAGCCATTCAACCACTTGGATTGGAATCCAGTAATATTAATATACTGCTGAAGATGCCGAAATTTTTGTGTCCTTCAAATGTTTACGCATGTCAAGTCTTTTCTCTGACTGAGGATTTAGGTATTTCAAGCCGACGAGTCTTATATAGAACGAAACATCCATCTTAGATTCCACTGATGAACACCACTAAGGAAGTAACATCTTGTTAACCTTAAGGCATCGTCAAAGAGTCCGTTCTAGGAGATAATATGTCAAACGAAACTGAGCATTAGAGTCCAATAAGAACAGCCAATGGGACGAGACTGTAAAATTACATCGACTGAGATGGTTAGGACATGTGCTACGTATGCCTAGTCATCGCCTTCCTCGCCGGGCAATGTTAGCTGATATAGGGTCAGACTGGAAAAGAGCTAGCGGTGGTCAAACGAAAACATGGCACCAGTCAATGAAATCCACAACAGTTAGTCTAAGCCACTTAGGAAGGTGTAAACTTCCTGACTGGTTGGGGTCCTCGGGACGGTAAAACCAATGGTTGGAAACAATTGGTGACATGGCTCAAAATCGTTCTCAATGGCTATCGCAGATGCATCCACTCCTTGTGACTTATGATTTCCAATGAAACTGTTTTGTTCTTCGTTATTACTATTCCTTTGTCTCATGCCTCTGTTTACTGTCTATATTATGCATTTCTCCTACTTTCTTCTCTTCTTTTGTGCGCTACATGCAGTGTGGCGACTTGAACTGCCGCACATATGTGCAAAGTTCTACGTCGAAAACCGACCGACCTACCGAGCCAATGGGAAGTTCAAAAAAAATTATTTCAACAAATCGCGGTTAGTTAGCACTTGCATTAAAGAGTAAGAAGTTCTATTTCTACAGAAAGTATAGATCATTATGTATTAATGTCAGTTAAAAAAGCCATCGGATAAAGAAAGATCATTAAGAAAATAAAAGACAATTCAGCGAAAAAAATTTTTTTTCGAGGAAGTCATCAACTGGGCTATACATTCTTGTGTTTATATTAAATGTGTCAGAAAGTTCCTGAATTATTCCCGGTAAAAGGTGAAATTAATAAAATTACTAAGTGTAATAAGTAGAAATAGGTAGTGGTAATATTCAAGTAATATTTCAAGTCAAATTAAAAATACAATGTGTAATAATCCGGGAGGTCGGTTAGGAAAGACATAATAAGTTATGATTACTCAGCAGTAGCTTTAATAGTGAGAATAAAAATTGTAAATCACGTAGCACTCAACGGCACGAAGGCAGAAAAGGTTAGAAATTTGATAAGGTTAAAGCTGGTTGAGTGTCCATTTAACAAGTGTGATAACGTGCAAAATGAGAGTGATTATAGTGAATTAATTATTAAAGCATAAACAAACTAAAAGTAACGGAGCGACTAGTGAAGCGCTTAAGACCATGGTAAAATAAGAGACTAGACAAACTTTTTCTATAAACAGAGTTTGGGGTTGTATTGACAAACTGCCAACGTCTCTACTATACACAAATGCCTAAGCCTAACGCCCTTTGTATCATTTGACCTCACCTTGTAGATAATCTGGAAAGACAACGCTGGTGGAGCTACGTGGCTTGAGTTCACCAAATGCTCGAGAATTAAGTTAGTAATTCTCTTGCAATGTCCTTTTGCTAACCATGCCGGACAATGTCCATATATGCATTTGGAAAGTGTGCGTCGGTGGCACAGTGGTTAGGACTCTCGCCGACCATGCACATGGTCCGGGGTTCGATCCCCTGCCGGCGCACACCCGATATCTATGGTATGCCTGAATTTGGGCAACCGATATCCATGCTGAAAATTCCATACTTGTACTGAAAATACGGTGTGGAATCAAGCTGTAAATCAAAAAAAAAAAACTAGCTCCACAGGAGCAGCAGGTGAATTTATAAACACACATTGAAGTGGCCAGTTCAAAGCGGTAGTTTATCCTTCACACATCCATTGATCATTTTTAGGCTGTAGAAACTGACCCGTAGCTCAGCCGTAAAGTAGGTTTTCCTCAGTGATCTGCATAAGCGATTATTCAAGATCGAAAAGAAAATTTTCTCCACTGAATTGTCTTTTATTTTCTTCATGACTCAATGGGTATTTTTAATGATCATTATATTGAAATCTGCGTCGGTGGCATAGCGGTTAGGATGCTCGCCGACCATGCACATGGTCCGGGGTTCGATCCCCGGCCGACGCACTCCTTTACCCCACTAAGCCAGAAATAATGCTGGTGAAGAGGAAAGGTTGGGCATAAGGCCAGCAACCCCAGCCTGTAAAATAAACACTGCTACAGAAACTTCAAGCCACTAGCTTGGAGCCCTATGTTCCCCTGGGGAACGTGAAGGAAAAAAAATAAATATTAAAATCTGGAAATACTTGATAGTATATACCCGGGACAGCTCTTCATACAAAATACGAAATCACTTCTCCTGTATCACTGCAGTGGAATTTTTTAGCGAACACACAAAATTCCGGTTGTCACAAAATGTAATCGTTTCTCACAGCAGCCAGTAGTTCACAGGAGTTCCAATCACCCACAAGCTGCTGTCTTAACTAACTACTTATTAAAGTCTGTGTTTTTGAAATTTCTTTAGAATAGAAACTGTACTTAGAACTTTAACAGTTCCTTATGAATATTTCATCAGTTGCCTTTTCGGTATCCTCAGTCTATTAAAATCTATCAATCAATAGTCTGAAAAGTACATTCGAGTCTAGAGTGTTTTCAGTTGCAGCACAGACTTTCGGCACACTTAAATTACTCTCATTTCTAAGGATTAATACTTGTGTAGAAATAGATTTTGATAGTTAATTAACTGAACAAAAGTCTATTGAAATTTAGATTTGATTTCATTATCACTCCCAAAAAGAGGAGACTTTAGACTATTCTAGCTGATTTGAAACCCTTATGTCAACTTATTGACTATTTTAGTTCATTCAAAATAACAACTAATCATTAAAATAATGAATTTTGAAGCACTTCTCACTGTCATTAGCCTATGAAAATGTTTAAGCTAGACATCTGGCCGATCATTTCCACTACTTCTTTTTCTTCTTCTTCATTCAAACAAACCGGCAGGTGGCTTAAATTAATATATATAAATAAACAAATATACGGACAATAAAAAGAAACAAACATTTGATCAACTCATGTTTTTATATATGTTCTTTCTGTCAACTCATTAGTAATAAAAATAAAAAAATTCTTTTGAACAATTCAGAACACTACAGTAAGTGTTATTTTCTTAAAAGTCCATTTTCTTGTTGTTTTTTTATTTTTGAAAATTTAAGTATTAATTACTATCAGAGTTCAAAACAAGATCAAATTTTAATTGAGATCATCATTACTGTCATTATCATAATGACCAGTCACGTGATTTACTCATTAGATGATGAGCGCTTTACGTCCATATGGCATTGCTACTTTCTAAATTACTTATTTTGAAAATATCTGCATCATATTACAACGAAGAAATTGAAACTAACAAACATTGATCAATCATCCAAATGGTACCCAAGCCATGGTAGTAGAACATTGTCAAGATGCTCATGAACAACAGCTCACTTCTTGAATACTTTTTTTCTTACATATCTTTCTGCAGCAATATCAAAGATGACATGTAGCATTAGATCAAACCGTTCGAAAGGTTTGTGGCTCTGCATTATTTTTTACAGAGAAAGCTGTTTCTGTAGTTATTACTCTTGTGAATAATATGCCTGTTCCAAGCTTCTAAACTCTATCTAACATTGAATGCTTTAGACTGTGTAAGACTAGTTAAAAAATCTTTACAATTTACCCATTTCCTTTGTAATGTTTTTTTACCGTCTGACATTAATATATGATACTATATAACGCCATAAATCACGTTTTATAGGAAATTAATCAGTGGTTCTTCTCAAATCGTCTCAAGCGAACTGATGTAAGAATAAAACTTGTGCACTGTGGTAGAGTATAATTCCACTATGGTTAAAATTTATTTTGATAAAGTCTAACAGAGTTATACAGTAATATTTACTGATGACGACATTTCGAGCACAATTTATTACTGCTCATAATCATATCAAGGTACTGACACAACCTTGTGATTTCGTTTATATAATTCCATTATTTTTCATCGCTTGACTTGATTGGTAGTAGTATTTTCTACATTTCCGGTATGAGTGATGAGTCGTTTCTATTGCACGTGTTGGGTGTAGACTCGATGAACAAGGATTTAATAATCACCCTCTCTCCACACCTACCTAGATTACTTTTTAGAATTTTAACTCTGTCCCACGCACCCTA